CTTCTGGAAGACCCAGAAGACAGCCTAAATCCGCCCCTGAATACTGATATATATTACACTAGTTTTATACTCTTTTGGACCTTTTTGCTTTTCAAAAGTCAAGGTAGGTATTTGTTTCTTCTTCTTTTAGAAGAATTTCATAATTCCTTTGATGCTTTACCTCTGTCTTTCCCTTTTCTCCTGTTCTTCTCTTTCCTTTGCAAGTCTAGCCTCCTTTTCCTTCTCTTGCTGATCTCTGAGAAAGGCTCGCCTTTTCTCCAACTCAGCTTGGCCTTTATCAAAGTTCTCCTTTCTTTTGTCTTCAAATGTGACTACATAAATAGACAGAGAACACATCAAAGACTCATCACTAAATAGCTAAACCAAATCAATGTGTCATTAATTATGTGATAAATTGGTGTTCAATCATTTCAAAATTTCAGGACTATTATAAATCAATCTAACACACAACTGTTAGTATCACTAATTGTGAATAATCAAAATTCTTTGATTGGAGTAGTTAATCAAATAAATGTGCTCAAACCATGCAAATTAGCACTTTGCACTGTTTCAGAAGTACATACCTGGTGCAGCAGGTGCTGCTAAATTATAAAATAAGAAATAAAATGCACTTCACTCAGAAATCAAATTCATGGATGATTTTTAAAAACATATAATGATACAGCAAAGAGATGTGTGCAGATAAAAAATGTCAAATTTACACAAGAATTATACAACAAGTAATTTTGTGTAATACAATTGTTTTAAAATGTTTTGACTTTGCTTCAAGTATTTTCCAAAATTTATACTTAATCAACTTGTTTTAAAAGTCTTAACCCCGGATTTAACTTATTGAAGCCAAATAATCAATTTATTAGCAACTAAAATTATGCTTATATGCCCCACATAATGTAATACTCCATATGTTGTTTGTTTTCAATGTTGTATCATTGCAGTTTCTACAGATAAAAAAATCAAGGGAAGGTAAATTTAAGTGTAATGAGTAAGAAAATAAATGTGATTGAATGTACAAATAAACCATTCTAAGGATAAATTATTTTACAATGCAATCAAAAAACACAAACAAACTTGATTTCAAAAATCTTAAAATTAAAAAAAAATAGCTAGCAATAAAAAACTTTAAATTTAACTTTATGAAAGTTCAAAATATTTACAGTGATTATTGAGTTAGAAAGTAAAAATAAAGCAAAGTCAATTATCAGAATGGTAGTGTTATTGATATTGCTTTGTGGAATCAAAAAAGGTGTTGTAAAAATTGGAAAGCTACAGAGGTGTTAATCACAACAATACTAACATGCAGAGAGGTCTGTCCCTTCATCTGAATAAAAATAAAAATGCAAGCACAACATCACTATGACATATAACAGTAAAAACAATTAAGACATTAACATTAATGTTCAGGATTCTTAATAGTATTGATTTCTGTAACACGTTGGTGTGACATACATAGATATAAACAATGTAGACGACCACTTATTACCAATTTCGTATTGCCAGAAAAAAAAAACACTATAAATATAAATTTATTTATATTTGGATGTAAATTAAGTCTTCCTAGCCATATTTAGGTACCAAATACAAACTTAGCATATCTTAATAATCATTTTGTTATGTATACAGTAGTAACCAAAACCCCTTAATCATACAGAGAAATAAAAGTATATGCACAGTCACCCCAGAAGATATCCAAAATACACCAACCAACAACCCACAGTCACCTCCAGAAGATACCCAAAATATAAATACCAAAACCCCATACTCAACCCACAAGATACCCATGCAGTGTGTACAAATGTACATTATGGCAACAATCACAATATTCTAGTTAGTAAGATATTCAATTCAAATGTTCTGCAATTCCAATCCTTTTAACAGATTCAAGCACAAATGAAAGAGCTCCAGGTATTACAGGCGTAGCATAGGCCATGGGGGAAAGCTTTAGACTAAATCTATACAAGTATTTGCAACAAAACTTGAGTCACTGATTTAATAAACCCACCAAGTTTGGAATCATCCTGCAGAGTTTCTCCATTCTGTGCAGGAACTGGGACTGCTGGTTGTCCCATCCCAAAGCCACCAAGCAGATCACCAAATGTGTCCTTCTGGGCGGTCATGCCTGAAAGTTAGCCACACACTTGAACATAGAACACAGGCTGTAGAATGCAGAGTTGCACTATAACATATGCACATATTTTTTTAATGAAAATAACACTGCTTCAAGCTCACTTTGGTAAACCATAACATGAAGTAAGAAACATCAGTTTTGAAGTTTTTAGTGTGATCCTTGTCAGATTTCAGCAGAGTTTCCACTTGGTACTGATAAAGCTTGCTACAATGAATGCTGCTTCATAAAGCATAACATTAAGGGCCTGTTCAGAACCAGATGATCTGCAGACTAAATGTGGAGTGACCCACTTGAAAGCATGCAGAGATATAATTGCTCTGCCCCCTGCAGGGCCAGTGTGCAGAGGAGGAGGAAATCCATTGTCAAGTGGGCATCATATTTGATAGTCTGAACAGGCCCTAAGTCTTCTGCCAAAATTTATTTCAATCAATAAAGCATAATCACACTCAATGCTTAGGTAAAGCAATATCAAACAAATATTGCACAAAAAGCTGAACATATAAACAAATATAATTTCAACCAGCATCACAGTAAAAATTCATTGATGCAGATTATTTTTAGCTTTTGCCATACCAGTGTTCGAAATTAACTTTTTTGCTAGGAGGCAACTACTTGCTCCCTGATCTGAAAGTTGGAGGCAACTTGGACTCACCTAGAGGCAAACTTTAATTAGATAATAGTTCAGCCCTAGCATCAAGTTAATGATCACTACTGGTCTGCGTGAGGCCCATGAGGCAAGATAGTTGGCCTCCTTGCCCTCTCTCTGGACAGTCAACCACCACCTGTTAACTGCAGGTTTAGGGTCATATTCTCTCAGGGCTTGAGGCCCAGCTATTTTCACTCTCATTAATGTGTCCAAAGTTGGGGTTGCCAAATTGCAACACCCGTCGTTCATAATCCTTTTCATGGTAGAAAACCCCCTCATGCAGTTGACAGTGGGTATTTAAGTCTCTACCAAGAAGATCACCTTCAAAATTGAAGCAAACTCGGTACTTTTCTTTGGCTAACTCTAAGGTAATTTCATGTGAACAAGTACCTCAAAATTACTTCACAGAGAAAGTCCAATTTTACAATGTAGCAATCTTATGTTCACTTGAAATTACCTTAGAGTTAGCCAACGAAAACGCGGCAAGTTACTGACTGCGGGTGCATTGTAGATTTTCACATTGTATTTCAATATGGACAGTCGGTCATCCGGCTGGATTAAACGTGATTAAAAACTAATAACAAGACCACAGGTAATTACAAAAGCATTTTATTTCAACAGCTTTAGCATAGATGAACAAGGCAATGTAAAAAACTGTTTGAAAAGTGAAAGTTACAGGGGGGGGTATACTACAAAAGTACCGAATAAACGAAGCACGAGGATAAACCCTCAATAAATCTACTTCGACTGTTTTCTGCGTGTACGGAACGTAGATTTAGCTGCAATTTGTATGAAACAAATGTCACATTTTTACCTTGCTCAGTGGAAGTGCTCTCGCTCGGATTACAGGTAGCAGCCGATGGATTTTTACGCTTCGGCTAACATAAAAAATTCCGGATGTCCATGATTTGCTTTGGGCGGAAATGAGAAGCTGTGCACTGCGACTGCGCAAACTTTCGGAACCAAAGGGCAAATGCCGCCGCCCAATTAGTTCAATTTGCCGCGGATGTAACATAAACATTAGTCAGGTCATTTGCATATTCGTAGTGCACATGCGCCTCAAACAGTTGCGATTATATAGGTCACATAACTATGTTTAGAACTTCGGAAAACCAACATTTCATGGAGTAAACAAGTGGGAGGCAAGTAAAACATCGATTGCTGGTAAACTTTTAATAACTTTATTTTCAGTCTCCAAAATTTCTCGGAGGCAACTTTTTGCCACCGGCTTTCAGACCAGGGGGCAACTTGGTTAAACTAGGAGGCAAAACTGCCTCTTGCCACCGTTAATTTCGAACGCTGCATACAATCACAATGTCCCCAAAAAACAAGGGAATTTTGACCCAGTAATTTTTCAATTATAAATATCCAAGTAAAAAGTACCCAAAGAAGAGTCATGAGCAAAAAGAATTACATGCTGGAATGAAGTCTATAGTAAAGGACTAGAAAACAATTTCCCTTACCCCCTGTCATGGGCTGTGTGGGTCCGGCAGCCATTGCTGGTGGTATGCCCACTGCACTACCAGACCTACCCCGCCTGTAGGACGGGGGTAACAGATCTGGGGGTAGGGTGGCAGGGAGGGTTTGTCCCGATTTGGCCATATCACTGAGGTGCATTGCCAGGCAAAATTCCTCAGATGTCAACTTGCCATCCTTATCTATGTCTGAGAGGTTCCTGGAAAATGTTCATACATATTTCTTTGCAGTGTTTATCAGTACGATGAAAAAAGCATTGGAAACATATAATAAATCTCTTCATTTTGTTCAAATTTTACTTTTTTCTTTAATTACTAATACTTTATTTGAATGTATCTCAAACCAGATAGCTCAAAATAATCCTCTCTGTCTGTAAAAATATAATAATAATCTGAGGTCATAAAATAAACCTGGTACTCACAATGGCACAGACAAAGGAATTCATATACAATCTGTTCTAAGTATATAGTAGCAGGAATCACAGTTAAATACAGCCTTTATTTCAAGAAGTTATTTTGTATTTCATCAACTCACCATATTTGTGCCAGTATGGGATGCGGCAATCCAGTGTGCATTAGAATACCCCTTGCCTCAACACCTAAAAACATCAGGTTTAAGATACAGAAAAAATATGTTTGCAGTGTAAAAACAACAATTTATTTATTTATTTTTTTTATTATTTTTTTTTNACACACCAAATACAAACTTAGCATATCTTAATAATCATTTTGTTATGTATACAGTAGTAACCAAAACCCCTTAATCATACAGAGAAATAAAAGTATATGCACAGTCACCCCAGAAGATATCCAAAATACAAATACCAAAACCCCACAGTCAACCCACAAGATACCCATGCAGTGTGTACAAATGTACATTATGGCAACAATCACAATATTCTTGTTAGTAAGATATTCAATTCAAATGTTCTGCAATTCCAATCCTTTTAACAGATTCAAGCACAAATGAAAGAGCTCCAGGTATTACAGGTATTTCAAATTGCTTAGCATAGGCCATGGGGGAAAGCTTTTGACTAAATCTATACAGGTATTTGCTACAAAACTCATCATTGACTTAATAAACCCACCAAGTTTGGAATCATCCTGCATAGTTTCTCCATTCTGTGCAGGAACTGGGACTGCTGGTTGTCCCATCCCAAAGCCACCAAGCAGATCACCAAATGTGTCCTTCTGGGCGGTCATGCCTGAAAGTTAGCCACACACTTGAACATAGAACACAGGCTGTAGAATGCAGAGTTGCACTATAACATATGCACATATTTTTTTAATGAAAATAACACTGCTTCAAGCTCACTTTGGTACACCATAACATGAAGTCAGAAACATCAGTTTTGAAGTTTTTAGTGTGATCCTTGTCAGATTTCAGCAGAGTTTCCACTTGTTCCTGATAAAGCTTGCTACAATGAATGCTGCTTCATAAAGCATAACATTAAGGGCCTGTTCAGAACCAGTTGATCTGCAGACTAAATATGGCGTGACCCACTTGAAAGCATGCGGAGATGTAATTGCTCTGCCCCCTGCAGGGCCAGTGTGCATAGGAGGAGGAAATCCATTGTCAAGTGGGCATCATATTTGATAGTCTGAACAGGCCCTAAGTCTTCTGCCAAAATATATTTCAATCAATAAAGCAAAATCACACTCAATGCTTAGGTAAAGCAATATCAAACAGCGTTTGTGCACGGAACAAATATTGCACAAAAAGCTGAACATATAAACAAATATAATTTCATTGATGCAGATTATTTTTACCTTTTGCCATACAATCACAATGTCCCCCAAAAACAAGGGAAATATGACCCAGTAATTTTTCAATTCTAAATATCCAAGTAAAAAGTACCCAAAGAAGAGTCATGAGCAAAAAGTATTACATGCTAGAATGAGGTCTATAGTAAAGCACTAAAAAAACAATTTCCCTTACCCCCTGTCATGGGCTGTGTGGGTCCAGCAGCCATTGCTGGTGGTATGCCCACTGCACTACCAGACCTACCCCGCCTGTAGGATGGGGGTAACAGATCTGGGGGTAGGGTGGCAGGGAGGGTTTGTCCCGATTTGGCCATATCACTGAGGTGCATTGCCAGGCAAAATTCCTCAGATGTCAACTTGCCATCCTTGTCTATGTCTGAGAGGTTCCTGGAAAATGTTCATACATATTTCTTTGCAGTGTTTATCAGTACGATGAAAAAAGCATTGGAAACATATAATAAACCTCTTCATTTTGTTCAAATTTTACTTTTTTCTTTAATTACTAATACTTTATTTGAATGTATCTCAAACCAGATAGCTCAAAATAATCCTCTCTGTCTGTAAAAATATAATAATAATCTGAGGTCATAAAATAAACCTGGTACTCACAATGCGGAGACAAAGGATTCATATAAAATCTGTTCTAAGTATATAGTAGCAGGAATCACAGTTAAATACAGCCTTTATTTCAAGAAGGTACTTTGTATTTCATCAACTCACCATATTTGTGCCAGTATGGGATGCGGCAATCCAGTGTGCATAAGAATACCCCTTGCCTCAACACCTTAAAAACATCATGTTTAAGATACAGAAAAAAAATGTTTGCAGTGTAAAAACAACAATTTATTTATTTATTTTATTTTATTTATTTATTTTTTGGTAAATGCATATACATCTTTAACAGACACTGGGGCCAAGGAATGGTGGAAGGAAAAGTTAACTGATACTGCTCTCAGAGGCAGGCATTTTGAGATATATGTATGCACATTACCTAAGAGATATCCCCTTTTCATCCTGTCATGGATGTTAAAAGTTTGATTGTATTTGAGCTTGCTCTGCTGTGGTACTGCCCATTCACCAGTGCTAGATGAAGACCGGGTCCTAGTTACGGAAAATAAAGTGTAACTGTGATATTTGACAGCAATATTTTTATCATTCTCCAATACATAAAAACAAAATACTACGTAAGTGTATCAAAATAATTTTACAGCACTATAAAAACTTAATGTTTGGAAATTAAATTAAAATATATATTTGTGACTTTTAACAAACAGGACATGTCAAAAATGGCTGTAAGTGTTTCCTCACTGCCCTCCCCAGACTCTACCTCTGGTCCATAGTGTTTATTGAGCCAGCTCTGGTTTTGTCTCCTGCCATAGGAGCACTGGCACCAAACCCATGGGGCAGAGTGGCACCTATGAGAATGAGATCAAAGTTTGTGCATTTTACTTTTCTATCTTTTCTTAGAAAATCAACACAAAAATACTACATTCATAAATGATACTACTTTCACTCACATTCTCACTCTTGATGTCAAAGACAATATTACTATCATTCTTCACAAAAATATATAATTATCTAATATTCTTTCTTTTAAATTCATTTAACAACAGAGTTGATTTTTCGTAGAGCTCCGATAGATTTTGTTTAACTTTGCCTAATATAACAAAATTATACACTTTGTTAATACTTCCTATTCTGATGAACTAATAGCGAAACTAGTGTCCTGCATTCTCACTTTCCTTCTTTTGCACATCTGTCATCTAGTATAAAAGATGCTTCAAAATACAGCTAGTAAAACTCTAATCATGACAACTTAGGTTATGTATTTAAACTCTGCTGTCATCATAATCATATCATTGGTAGGGTTGTTTTGAAATTGATATTACTTACTTCCCATAGGTGCCATCATGTATCCATTGGATGGTGCCACTACACTGGTATAGGAGGGTGGGGCTATGCCAGGACCTGGACCTGAGGATTTAATAAGCATTAAAATGATTATTCAGTATTTTTAGATTTTCTATAAATTAGTTGTTGGTTAAAGATATCTCAGTAGGTAGTTTTATGAAAATTAGCACATATCCTAAAATAGAGCTGAACTGCTAAGCAGAGATTTAGAAGGTATTCATCAAAAATTACTGTAATGTAATTACAGCTTAAGTCCTGTTTATGAATTACTTTCCTTGGCAAAATTACTTCATGAATAAAGAAATCTTAATATCATGCACTAATGTTTAACAAAACAATAATGCTCATCTTACCCATTCCCATCCCAACTGATGCTGGCATACCCATGGCCATGCCAGGGTTCATCCCCAATCCACCGCCACCACCTGGGCCAAAGGAGCCCACAGATGGCACTGGGTCTGCCTTCAAGGAAGCTGGCAGGACTTTTGGCAACTCCAAACCCTTTAACTTATTTTTGATTAAATGCATAGCAATAGAAAACTCTTTCCTGTCCATCTTTCCATCATTGTTCATGTCAGCTAGAGCCCTAAAAGGAAAATAAAATAATAATAATAATACTGATAACACTTAAGGCTACATAACTTTCAATTTATTTTTTAATTCACTAACAATTTTGAAAAGAAAAATACAGATATTGACAGTCACTCAATATTGTATTTAAAACTAAGCTTTTGATAATTTAATAAAAATCGCATTAAAAACACATTTGTTCAGATAAATTCAGGATTTGCTGGCCTGGGCAGACATTCAGCTAACCATAGCCAGCAGTTATATTGTAACATCTAATCACTAACCCTCATATCAAAATACCATAAAGTAAAGTAACCTATCAAACCAATAATGTCTGCAACTTGTGCCTTAAAAGTATTCATGTTATTTTACACCCACGAACTTGACTTTGAATCAGCCCCAGTGCAACATTATGGAATGGAGGCAGACAGAGGACTGAACAAGAAACACAACTAAAAGTTCCTATTGATCGTTCCTGTATTATGCCTCCCAGTACATTACATGGGAGCACAGACCTACCAGATTTGTCCCAGAACTTGCTGTGGTAATCCAGATTGGATAAAGAACCCCCTGGCCTGGTGACCTGAGAATAATAGTGATAATAATAATAATAAAGAACCCAGATTTCAATACAGGATGTATAATCAATAACAATAATACACACAGCTGCTCATCTCACACAGATCTTAAAAGAAGACATTTGAACATTAACAACAAGCATAGAAATTAAAGTTGCAGGCTAGTTAGTTTTTTTAATAGCAAGGCTTGAGTTAAGAGAGTAAACACATATGCCACGTCTTTTTAAGATAGTCATGTTAAGTGGAAAATATCTGAATATCTAACCCATGGTTTTATCAAGGAATTATATCATCCATTTTTTACCTCATTTGAAACTTCATCAATATAAAACAAGTACAGCTCCAAATGTCATTAATTAACTTTTTACACTGGATCTAATCAACAAAGTGAGATCTGTTCTTTTGTCCCCTAGCAGCCACAAAAATGGCATTTATCTCCAGCCTCGCAACATTCTATGACTAAAATTGATTTCTTGTTCATTATCTTGGGCCCTGTGAATATTTCCACTTATGCACATTACCAGTAATAAAGCCAGACACAGGCTTGAGCTGAAAGAACTGTGCGTCATGTTTTGACCGGTCTTCAACTGTTATGCGCCATGGGTCCCCAGTGATTCCTGCAAATTGAAAATCACATGTATCAAATTTTCACATTTCAAACTGAAAACAATTTACTCAATATTTTGTCATGGGATAAAATTTAATAAATATGATCATTCAAATACATACACATGAACAAGACACATATGTAAAAGTGGCACACACACACACACACACACACACACACACACACACACACACACACACACACACACACACACACACTTGAACATTTCTGAAAAAAAATTACAGGTTTTTCTGTCAGATGCTTCTCCTAGCTGAGGTTAAATACATGGTCTAATTGAAAACTAATCCCTATGGGAATGTTAAGTTTCCCCTGGGCCATGTGTATCACATGCAAATATTCCTTAGATTTCCATGGAAACTTAAAACTTACACATTAAGCAAGCCTGGATTCCCAGCATATATTTTGAACTCATCAATTTCACATCTAGATCCACAATTCAAAGGAAGATAAAAGTGCCATTTTATTGGAAAGAGCCTAATAGAGGTATTTAAAACCAGAATTGGTGAAGCAAAAGACTAAAACTTGAAAAGACACAAAATGAATGCCACTAATCTCTAATATTACGGATTCAATATTCTTTCACATTTGATGTGTCAATGAAGTTCACCATGTTATACAGTCAGAATAAGAGAAAGAAGCATAACAAGTTTCAATTTGAATGTCATATCGATTGAGCAAATGACTACAGTTAATGCATTACCATACTACACCATCATCTGACAACATAGACCCCATTCCCATAGATTTTAGATCGATCTATCCCTGTGGGGAGTCTCACTAGATTACTGTCAGCTTAGCCAGCTTAAGCGTCTGTCCTGCCTACTAAGAGCTGTAAGGGGGTAATTAACTATGGTGCGCGCTCGGCTGACTGCAATTTAGCGTGAACCCCCAGGGAGTTAGGTCAATCTAAATCTAGATCTCTGGATCGATCTAAATCTCTGGGAATGCACCCATAGAGTCATGCTAGGAACTCAGTGGTTAAAGTTTTACATATATATGTACATATATACAACAATTCACTGGGTACTGCTATCTCATGAAACACCTTTCTTTACATTTCAGTTAATCAATACAGTACAGGAAACATTCAGTAATCCCCAAAAGTACTAAATACTGTTCTGCATGACAAAAAACTTGCTGGATTCTCAAATTAATCTCCAAGGAAATAATAAAACCAAATTCTCAATTAGGTGTAACAGGATGTATGTACAACACTGGCAAATACCAAGTCCATATAGTAATGAAAATATGACAGAAACAAAATCTAACTAGTCTATCTAGAGTCTACTTTATGCCACCTAATGTGTTGTAGCATTGAAAAGAATTGATCCATTTCATTAGCTAAATCCACTGAATCCATGGAAACAGTTTTGCTATCCTGTTAAAGCATTATATGGGTAGCAACAGCAGACCTAAAATAACATCAACTGCTAACAGAAAATTTTATTCTAATACAAATTGTAAATTCTAATATCTATTATAAATTCTAGTTCTTAGTACTGTAAGGCCTCATTCCCAGAAACCGCCATGGGGCTATGAGATCAACCCAATTCCCCTGGACTCTTACTGAATGCAATCAGTTGAACAGATTAACATATCTCCTCTTGGCATTAAGTAGAATACAAAAAAGCTGGTGATTATATGAGCATGTTGCAAACAAGAGAAGGTGTGTCATTCAGTTAAGCTGATTGCACTCAGGAGTCCCCATAGAGTTGGGTCGATCCACATAGACCGATGGTGTTTATAGGAATGGGGTCTCACATTCAATAAATCTGCATGATCCATGAAATGTTTAAATCCATGAAATGTTTAAATCCAAGTATAAAGAAATCTAGACATGAAATAAATGCAGTCTTTTGACTCGTGTTTTCAAACCAAATTTCATTTCTACTTACCTCCAAATTGCATGGCCATTTCTATTGGTTTTACAGCAGCCTTCTAAACAAACTAAAAACAAAAAGAAAAAGAAACACATTCAACAAAAAATCATTGCAAAATATGTGGAGTTCTTTACATTACACTTCTTTATTTAAAATAGAACATGTTATGACAGATATGCAGTAACTGATTTTACCTTTATTAGCATGTGCATGGAGACTGACTACTAAATAAATTCATGAACATTCAATGAATTGATGTAACATTACCAATAAGAAATAATGCTGTTTTTATTGTTTGAAATAGCTCGGTTATGCCAGAAATCAGTTTATAAATGTAAGCTGCCAAATAACTAGAGGATAGGAGCTTTTATTAATTTTTGCATAAAAAAACATGGGATGAGTGAAAGAATGGTGACATGATAATATAAATTTCATAATACAGCATAATAAATGAGCTCTGATATATATATATATATATATATA